TATCTCTACCCTGCCCTTTACATCTAAACTGCTTGAGAAAGTCGTTTATCAGCAGCTGGTCTCACATTTAGCTGACTCTGATCTGTTTGAGGTTTTCCAATCAGGGTTCAAGTCTGGCCATAGCACAGAGTCTGCTCTACTGAGGGTCCTAAATGACATCTACCTATCACTAGATCAGGGAACATCTGTGCTGCTTCTGTTATTAGACCTGACAGCAGCCTTCGACACAGTTGACCACGCAATTCTACTCGATCGCTTGGAACGATGGGTTGGGATCAAAGGGTCAGCTCTGGACTGGTTTAGATCGTATCTCCAAAACAGGACATTCTGTGTTAAACTGGGTGATGTTTTTTCTTCTTGGGAGGGGCTCCGGTGGGGGGTCCCGCAGGGGTCGATCCTTGGTCCACTTTTGTTTGCCATTTATCTGCTACCTCTGGGGTCAATCTTTCGTAAACATGGCCTATCATTCCATCTGTATGCTGACGATTGCCAGATTTACTCTCCGTTGTGTCAGGAGAAAGGTCACTCTATTCAGTCCTTTGTCTCCTGTGTTAATGAGGTGAAGTCTTGGCTAATGTCCAACTATCTACATCTGAATGAGGGAAAGACAGAGCTCATTGTTTTTCACCCCAACAGCAGGAATGTGGATCGTTATGCTGATCTTGGCCCTCTTTCTCCATACTCAAAACCAGTTGTTACCAGTTTGGGGGTGAAACTTGATGTAGGACTTAAATTTGATGCTCACATCAATTCTGTGATCCGGTCCAGTTTCTTTCACCTGAGACGCCTTGCTAAAATCAAGCATATGCTGTCGAGAGCCCACCTGGAGCGGGTACTGCATGCCTTTGTAATTTCTCGGCTTGACTACTGCAACTCTCTCTATGCAGGGTTGTGTCAGTCAACACTGCGTCGCCTACAGGTTGTGCAGAACAGCGCTGCCAGGTTCCTGACTGGGACCAGGAAACGGGACCACATCAGTCCAGTTCTGGCCTCCCTGCACTGGCTTCCGATTTCCTATCGCTCACAATTCAAAATACTCGTCTTTGTTTATCATTTCTTCCAGGGTGGTGCTCCCCCCTATCTGGCCACACTCCTGAACAGACATTCCCCATCACGCGCTCCGCGCTCCTCTGACCAAGGCCTGCTTGCTGTCCCTCGGTCTAGGTGTCGTACCCGTGGGGACCGGGCTTTCTCAGTCCTAGCACCGTTACTCTGGAACCAGTTGCCACCCTCAGTCAGGCTGTCCCCTTCTCTGCCAGTCTTTAGGAATCACCTAAAAACACACCTCCTCCGCTTGGCGTTTCCAGAACATGTTTGATTATGGCCCTCTATTATGTTGAATCCATTCCACAGTTTTCATTGGTACACTCAATCCATCCACTCAATCCAATTGTGTTTCACACATTTGTATTTTACCGGAATGTTTCATCTATTTTGTTATTTCCATTTTGTATTTTGTAATTTGTATTTTGTAATTTGAATTTCTTTTATTGTTGATTTATTCAGTATAATTACTTACAACTGTACCATGTTCAGCGCTTTGGGCTTCCTGACAGGGTTGCGGAAGGCGCTTTATAAATAAAGCTTTGATTGATTGATTGATTGATGTGAACCTGCTCTCAGAAACACTTGGTAAAAGTGTATTCAGTTAGATTTGGACTTTTCAGTTGTGTTGTACTCCAGGAATCCCTTCTGCTTATTAAAACTGCGTGAGCTCTGCATTTGAGTCCTCTTTGTGCTTTGATAGCAGGATAATGCACCATGTAGTAAAGCTCCAATCATTTCAAACTGGTTTCTTGAACATGACGATGAGTTCACTGTATTACAATGGCCCCCACAGTCACCAGATCTCAACCCGATAGAGCATCTTTGGGATGTGGTGGAACGGGAGCTTTGTGCCCTGGTTGTGCATCCCACACATCTCCATCAACATCAAGATGCTATCCTATCAATATGGGCCAACATTTCTAAAGAAGGCTTTCAGCATCTTGTTGAATCAATGCCACGTAGAATTAAGGCAGTTCTGAAGGTGAAAAGGGGTCAAACACCGTATTAATAGAGAGGGTGCTCGCTGCAGAACTACAAAGGCGGAGCTGCACCATAAGGCGGAGCTGCACCAGAGTCAGCCTCGCCCATTCATGCAAACTCAGCCTAGCCCACTGACTTCTGTTTTTGTTTTTCAGCTTTATCGCAAACTAACCTGACCCACATGAATTACGGCTGTTACTAGTTTACAATTGTTAATGCTATGTTCTATGCTCCAATTAAATAAAATAAACATAACTTGCTACATGACAATGCCTGAATATATCCCGAAATGAAAAAGTTTCTTTTAGCAAATTTCTGTCCACAGCCGCTCCAACAAAAGATGCCTACAACAGAACAAATTGCTATTGTGTGGGCTCTGATGGTCCAGTGGCAAGATTGTCTGACTTTTTTGTTTTCCCCTCTGCTGCTGCTGGTTCGACTCTCGGTGGGGTCGGCAACAATCTATTTAGCCAGCTGAAACCTTTAATTTGTTTATATTTTAGTTGTAAAGTTTATTTTCTGCAAAATATGTATGTCTCTAAAAGTTCTTTGAATTTGGTCGTTCCTAAACAGCATTTTAGTTGAAACTCTGCTCACAAATAGACTCACGCTGGCTAAATAAATGAATAAATAATAATAAAAAAACACATTAGTCATTATATATTAAACGGTATACCAATAAATTGTTGTAAACATAGTACTGGCAAGTGGTAGTTAGAAAAGAAGAAAAAGGGTTATAAACTACCTTTATACTGCCGTTACTGGGAGACGAACCTGCGCAAAATTGCATACTAATCTGACTCCATAACCACTTCACCACTACATCTGATATAAAGCAGATGGCGTTACATGTAATTGTGCCATCCAGTGTGTCTTTGTAGATGGGATGTATGGTTTTTCCAGCGGTGTCTCAGTAGAAGTCATTTCAGAAATAATTTGTTAGAAAATTCACAGAATATCCAGATTTGAGAACCAAGACCAGACCCACTTCGGGGGAGGACACCAAATTGAAGTTGAGATGGGAGGAAAATGCATGAATGAGGCCAAAAATGGCTTTGGCGTGTTTTTTATGAGGAAATGACAATATAACATGGTAAAAAGTTCCAAAAGTTAGATTTTTAATTATGGAACCTTTACAAAAACTGTTCAGTTAACTTCTCAACTCTGTCCTCAATCTTGCATTTTAGATGATATTAGCTATAACACACTCTTTGGTTCCAGAATGCTATTATCTGACAACTGGAAGGAATTGGACTGACTCTGACTCTGATGGAATGGGTGGGGCTGACTGGTGCAGCCCCACCTTCTTCCCTTTGGTGCAGCTCCGCCTTTGTGGTTCTGCAGCGAGCACCACTTGCATTAATATGGTGTTCCTAATAATCCTGTAGGTGAGTGTATATAGCACTCATCACAGACAAAGAAACCAAAAGTGCTTCACAGATCAAAACAAAAGGTCATAAATTCATAATGATCTTCCAGAACAGAAATACATTAAAATCAGAAATACAAAGTCATAAAATTATAAAAGACCACTAAACAAATGAACGATGAATACAATTCAAGTTAAAAATAAGAAAATAAAAGATTTAGGTAAAAGCAGCTTTAAATAAAATGGTCTTAAGCTGTCAGTACTGTCCAGACTGTAAGGATAAAGGAAGATCATTCTAAAGTTGGGGAGCAACAGTTTGGAAGGAGCAATCACCTCAACTTTTTAATAAATCAGTTGCTGAACACAAAAAGACATTCAGTTTAATTAGTCCTCCTCAAGTTAAAACTGTCATGAGGTGATATGCCACTCAGCAGAACAACAGTTTAATGCTGGAACTTGTTTTTGTTTTGATTGTGTCGTGAAATAGTGAAACAGTGCCTTCAGCTCACGTCTTAGTGACCACAGATGGCGCGCTGGGATAAAACATCTTTTTTGTTAGTTTAGAAGACAAGAAAACATTTGTTTTGGACAGTAATGGAAGTCATACCTTGATTAAAGCTGAGTTTGGTTGAACACATCAAGTCTTGTACCTCTAAGTCTTTGCTGTTCCATTTCATTAGCTGATGTCGATGGCTGTCTGCCCAGGGCAAACAATGAGCTACTTGTCTCTGTTTTAAAGGAGCAATTTTCAATGATGTACATGCTGAGTGGCATACAATGGTGCCATGAATGTTGTTAAGTGTGTCAAGATTTAACTGTGCTTGACAGACAGTACACAGTTAAGTATCAACATAACTATTTGTTCAGTGATATTAATCTTTTTTGTCTGACTCCAGATGTAAAAACAGGTTTTTCTCTTTAAGGAAAGACATAATAATCTATAGGGAGACCCAATCTGTGGTACAGGCAGGAAAAGTAGACTTCAATGGCCAAGTCCTTGAACCAGAATCCTTAGAATGGACAATAATGTATTTCTGTAAGAATTCAAATGCTGCTGTCAGCAGTGTGGATTGGGGTTTGGGGATCTCTGTGACCTTCTCAGTGGCCTGAGAGTGTGTTGGCATGGCATGACTGATGCAGATTATCATAGCTGGAGAAAGCCAATTACTCCAGTCATCACTGCTCCCACAGGGTTTCTCTTGGTGGAATGAAACACATTACACAATTCTCTGTGCACCCTTCTGACAGTGTTTTGTGTTTCATTGCTGATCCCCTCAGTTTGAGTGTTAATAGTGCAGTCTGTGGGACCCACCCGAGCCTCAAAGCCCTCATTGGCTCCAATGAGCTTCTGCTCCACAAAGCAGGGAGGTCGTGCCTTTTGGAGAAACGGATGAATTACAGTCTCCTCTGTTTGTCTTTCCTCTCTGTTTAAGACAAATGCTTTTTTTGGGGGTCCCTTCTTTAAGCACATCTCACTCGACGTCCTTGAACAACGACAGAATGAATAAACTAGGCTGCCGAGTCGTGCTGTTGGTATACCATGAACAAAACAAACAGCGGCTAATCAGAAATTTGTTCTGCTTGGTTTTGTTTTCCAAAACAGATTTGCTACAAGACCAGAAAATCTGAGATCACAGAGCGCAACACTGCTTCTGTAGGATGTACAAAGACTACAGATCAAGTCGAGTCACAGGTAAGAGGCCTTTACTGCCAGTGTGTGATCTATCGGCTGGTGCTTTTACTTGTTCTATGCCAGAGTTCCTGTGTGGATATTTTTAATGAATGCTGCAAATTCATATGCCGAGATTCCTTTAAACGGAAATAGTATTTAATCTTCCTTAGGTCTTTGTGTGTGTGTGTGTATGTGGGGTTGGGTGGCATTCTTGTTCTTGGTCTTTTCCTCTGTTCATACTTTTGTGGAGGTAAAATGTTGCGTAGTGTTTCTATTTCAGTCTTGTTTTAATATCCAAATCTGACCATCCATCGGGGCGACGGTGGCACAGGAGTTAAGTGCTCACCCCGTAATCCCCGTTTAGTACACAAATATCACAATAATAAGCTACGTCATGTTTGTAATATAGCTGCTTAAAGCTTCCAGTGTGCTGCACACCGTGCGCAGACCTATTAAAATGCTCTGAAGAAGCGCTCCTGCGGCAGCTGCTGCAGAGACCAGAGACGATCCCTGATGGATTATTTAAAAAAAATATCTGTGTCACAGAATCAGAGCTAATTATCAACAGTCAATTTGTTGTTTTCAGGAGTTTTATTTTATTTTGGCAAGATCAGAGAAGAGGCACGTCAGTCATACTGTCCGACGATTTAAACTTTTTTGTCTGACAATATTAAAACACGTCGGTAATGCCCGACATGTTTTCGCTAACACTTTACTATTGCAAGATACCATAGCTCATGTTAGCCACTACTCATATTTAAATTCCAGCAACAGCAATGTAAACTGCAGTTGACAATTATTTTCACCCAGCATAAAAATGAAGAACATAAGCTTGTGTTGACCATTGAAAATGTTTGGTTCAAGAGTTCATTTTAATCTGTTAAGCATGTTGTGTTGCTTCCTGTGCATGAAAAGTGCTATATAAATAAAGTTTGATTTGATTTGAGCTAAGTGAAGTTTGCAGCTTTGATACTCTTTGGGATGATGTGGTGAATTCAGCTAGCGGTTGTCACCTTCAAATCAACCGAGATATATATATATATATATATATATATATATATATATATATATATATATATATATATATATATACTGTATATGAGAGAGAGAGAGAGAGAGAGAGAGAGGGAGAGAGGGGAGAGAGAGAGAGAGAGAGAGAGAGGGGAGAGAGAGAGAGAGAGAGAGAGAGAGAGAGAGAGAGAGAGAGCCCAAAACACCCTTTTTATTTACTTTCTGAAATAACCCTGCCCATGTAAGGAGGAGATAGGGTCTGTTCAGAGTGTACTGACCAATCAATATCTTCACCATATTATCTTTAAATAATTGAAGATCATTTTCTTCCATATAAGGCAAACTTTCTGCACACAAAGAAATGCTTACATGGGCCAGAGTGGATCATCTCTGGATCTCTGGACCATGAACTTGTTTAGCATCATCATGCTCACAGAAGGGAAAAGGGCTAATTTGTGTTCCGCTGACTTAGCTTGTTCCATGAACACACCTCTATCACCGTCTCATTGGGATATCTCATATAGACCCCAGAATAATTACTCTTTTTCTGTCATTGCTCATTGAGCGCTCAACGCTGAAAAAGAAAAAAAGAAAATGGTTTTCATTAAACGGATAATTACCTTTTACACAAGCATGCTTTTTCATTATGCATTACATGAGGCATGCATGATACTACGTTTCGCTAACTATCCGTTATTTTATTTTTCAAAACAATGGGATCCTGCAGTACATTGTGTGAGAGTAGAAACTGAAGTAAGTTAGAAAATGTTGGGGTTATTAGGAGCGAACAATTCGTAAGCGTTAACTTACTTTTGGATTCTTCAATAAATTCTGTAAATATGTAAATATTTACTGATTTATTAATTAATTAAGATATTCTTAGATATACGGGGCACCATTCCCCTTTAACCGGGGAAAAATTGAATCCAAAACTCTTATCAGTCTTTCTTGAAGTTCGTAGAATCCTTGGAGCAGAGACTTCTCTTCGACACAACAAAGCTACTGGAGACGAAAATCTGAATTTTATAACGTTTAATTAACAATTTGTCAAATGAATAAACAGTGGCATAAATGAATAATAACCATGTGATATAATAAAAGGATGTATATTCAAAATAATGTTCAAGGTGTTTTGTGTGTATGTAGGATGTATGAATGGGGTCCTTTGTTCTCACAAAGGAGTAGTGTGTGTGCGTGTGTATGGATTCAAAATGGAGTCTTGAATACAAGATGGCTGACTCCTTTGTCTGGCTAAAGTGTGGGTGGCAACTTGCACTTTAACTTCCAAAGCACTTAGAATCAGTAGTAACTTAACCTTAAATCACTCAAAACATTTCAAAGGATCATGCAACAACACAAAAGATTAATCACGAGTTAATATCCTTAGTTTATCAGCCTGGCCATGGCCGAACATTTAAAGATACCAAACAATGATTAATAAGCAGTTTATTCTTTCAAAATGACCCGAAGGACGAATTTGGAACGAAAGAGGAAAACACGAAGCTACTTTTTTTAAGCAATAGCGCGGTTTTATTGCTTATTCTGGACTATAGAGGAAACGGGAGAAGAAAAGAATGAGAGAAAAATGAGTTTTCTGATCACCAAAAGAGCGAGGCGTCCCTCCCCCTTTTGATTTGACGGTTCTCCGTGTTTCTCCGCAGTTTTCAGCGTCATCCGCCGGTTTGATGCTTTCTCCGTTGTTTGGCTCCACGAGTGTTTCTCCACGGCTGGACACAAAGAAAACGAAGTTCCTTTTGGGCTGAGTTTGACAACTTACAGCGTTTCTGAGAGCTGGATGGAGTTGTTGTTTCCCTCCGCTGGTTCTATGTCCTCAAACATCAGCTGGAGGGGAGCAGAAACGAGCAGATCAGCGGTCCCGTGGGCTCAACTTGGCTCTTAGAGCTTCCGCGTGCTCAAAGAAGTCGGAGCGTTCGACAAGCGTGTCCTCACCGCCAGGTATCCTGGGCAAAAGAACGAGGTTTCTTTGTCTCTGCTGAAGATTTATGGTCTTAGTTCGCGGGGAAAGCTCCACGGCTTCCCGCACATGCGCAGAACGTGTTTCTGGTACTAGGCGGTAACATCACCCAATGCTTCCGTGTGCAAAGCATCATGGGAAATGAAGTTTCTTGGCGCTGATGTGATTATTTGCTTTTCAGAGCAATTTAAGCACAGTCATTTTAGAGAAAATCACTGCATAGTAATTTCCTCATGAGGTCAGACCCTCAACATTCCCCCTTTTGGTTTCGGGGATCGCGCCCAAAGCTCGATCGTCGGAAGCACAGATGGGTTTGTTCCTCATGAACGTAGGTCGACTTGATTGTCGGAAGCACAGGTGGGTTTGTCCCTTATGACGTTGGTCTCCTTGGACGCCTTTGTCTTTGGTCTTTGTCTTTGGTCAGGCACAAAGAGGATAGGAAACGGGATAGTCCCCAACGCGCATAACGAGAAGAAGCCACTCACGCAGGTGGTACGCAATGATGATGTCGTCCATGCGAGAGGTAGTAGTGTAGAAGGAGGAAGGTCGGTGGGCAGTTAACTCCACGAGTGGACACAAAGGCATCTCACCGCCGGCCATACAGTTCAGTTTATGGATCACGCGGTGATGTACGAGGTCCATAGTTCGCAAACGCGCATTGACCTATGTGGTCCCAAGATTCCCCCCTTTTTTGGTCCAAAGGGTGGATCAGGACAGTCTTTGGGCTAAAACAAGGACCATAAAACTAAGAGGTACTACAATGTGCTGGTGCGTCAGACAGAGTCATTGACAGACTGAGCTGGGCCGGCACATAACCACTAGTTAATATGTGACCAAGTAAGAAACAAAAATACAGAAAACCCAAAAAAAAAAAAAAAAAAACATATAACATCCAAGAAAATTCATAGCAACCTTGAGGTCTCATAAAATACATTCTTAGGTCATACAGTCAGTGTGTAGCTTATAAAGAATGTGACATACTGCAACACTCAGATAAATATGTGAGGTAGACTAAAATGAGAACTACTCTTAGGGTTACAAAATAATAAAGAAAATGTTGCTCACCCCCTTTAGACAGGTGTGGTACATTCACGCTTGGAGTCTCCCCGAACGCGGTTACGAGGCACACCGTAGGTGAGCAAGTGCATCTTATCTTGGAGTTTATTAACACGCCTGTAGGCGGAATAAGCTATCACGGCCGTGATGAGCCATTCCATCCCCAGGGCGACCAATGTGCAGATTAAAGTCGTATAATCTGTGTCAATGTAGCGTCTTGGGCGTCAAAGTAAGTTCACGCGGGTTTTGTGTGAACTTAGCAAATTTGGTTCCTTCAATCAGTAATTGTTGGTCAATTTCTAAATCGAAGGCAAAGTTACAACCCCGGAAAGCGTCCATGATCTCAATCTCTGAGTCATGCTGTTCGAGGTTGAGATGATGGAGTGCCAGGTTTCTAGTTCAAGGTGGAAATGCCTACCGTCCTTTCAAATACCAATGTTCAGCATCGACCTAAACCTATAGATGTGAGGTGTCACAATTATGGGAACGTTTAACAGGAAACCGAGTTCTAATTTTTTTTTTCAACGTGAATGGGCATTGCACTACTTAGGCTGTACGCTAGGTGGATTTGTGAAAGGTGCACAGTAGAGGGGTAGCACGGGGAAATACGACTTTCAACCAAGCTGTCCAGCGTGGAACTTACTTCCCTGAGCAGGTCCTGCATCAAATCTCTCACCACTCATGTGTACACAATATCCTGATGTATGGTTTCAGACAAAGTCTTGATTGCACGTAGAGATTCATTAATCAGAGCAGAATGTAGGTTGACAGTAACATGTGTACCCTGTAAGGTTTTAGTGAGTACATCCTGTTAGAGGTCTAGGAGAAGTTTCTCTTGGTTAGTGAAAGTGACGGCGGGGGGGGGGCTTGGTTCTTTGTCGGTTAGTACATGTTAGTGGGTTAAACGTGCACTTCCCCCCTTTTCCATTTCCATGCATAAAACTATGTGGAGACTACGTCTACCTCCTGCGGGGAGTCT